CCTGTCCACATACCATCGTTTTTTTGCATATACTCCTTAATGGCTCTCCTCACTCCCTTCGCGCTTGCATTCGCTCCGGCTTCAGGCTTAATTGCCATCACTCGCCTGAAAAACGCACGCCCGCTATGCAGGCTAGCCAGTTAGCTTGATATGGGAATGGCTGAAAAAGAGATTTGCAACACAAGACTGCTCAATTAGACGTACAGAAGCCAAAATTTGGACATATCTTACGAACCTATATCGATCTTTCTCTCCCGCTCTCTTTTTTCCCTATGCCTTTCTTCTTCTGTTGCTCCGGCACTTGATCGTATTCCCACTGTCTTTGTTTTGCCAGGAATTTTGGCCGCTAAATTTTCAGGAAAGGGACATTTAATTAATCTGTAGAGAATAGAAGGTGAATAGAAAAATTGGAAGTAGATTTTTTTACCCCAAATGTTGCTTTTTTGTGTGTGTAACTCTCTCAAGATACATGAAGATAGGTGAAAATTTGCTAAAAGAGGTACCAGTGGAAAAATCTATCCTTGTTGATTTTGATAAGTTCATCACCTTGGGGAATAAATGGAAAGCTAAATGGGTTCATGAAGGATATTCATGGTTCCCAAAAAAAAAAACACCCATAAGGCCCCAGTGTCGGCAGTACTCCGTCCATCTGATTTACTTTTTCTATTGAGAGGACAATTGCAAGGATCCGTGAGGGTCCATTCAATGAAGGTTTCAACTAATCAATGGCACAATTACGGGTCAGTCCACTTGGCGATCTTTGACCATCTTTGGCTGTTCGAAATCGTGTCTGGGCTTAATTAATAGTGCTGAACGCACGAACAGTGAAGAGGCAGAAAGAGGAGGTGGAAGAGTTTCAGAAAAGAGAGAAAAGGGGACGATGATTACTTTAATCTTGTCTTTACTTACGTTATTTTTAATATGTGAGACGTGGCAATTTTACCAAAATATAACTTTGAAAAACTACCAAGAAAATTAACTATTTTGGATTTTTATTGATTGAAAACTTATAGAGTCTGATGTATAGTGTAAATTATTAATGGCAAATCCCTAAAATGCATTGACGAATAATCTATATCGGTACCATAAAAGCATGTGCCCACTCCAAGAAAGATGTATGACCGCGAAATTCATTCAGGTGAATAAAGTAAAGTTAAGTCATCTGACATGAATAATATTTCTTTACACACTTCAAAACCTCTCATTTTTTTCATCGAGTTTGACAACTGTCACGCAATTGCAGAATACAGCACTACAACACCCAACAACAATTGCTGAGCAACCTTAATTTTATAATGTACAATTAAGAAGAGCTAACATACAAATTACAAAACATTTAACATTAGCTATTCTCCTGGTTTTGCTATTTCAAACCTCAAATGTTGCGTGATGCTAACAGTATTGAAACCCGTCCTTGTGTACGATAGGAATTTCTCAAACTCATTAATAATTCATTAAGAAAATACAAAGGAAATTAATGTTTAATGAGTGTTTGGAAATCGGATGAAACACTGCTTAGTATTTGCATCCTTAATTTCTCCTTCAAAAATGATTTTGTTTGAGAAGAAATATCAAACATTCGACACAGTGTTTCATCACCAGATGAAACACCTCGAAGTTCGTCAAAAATACTCCGCTGCGCGTCGTATTTTCAACTCTCTTCTCCGTGTTTCATCTGGTGATGAAACACTGCATCTCATGTTTGATATATTACATGCAGATACATTTATATGCAAATTTGCCACATTGTGTCACCAACCTTCACAGCAATTTCTTATCAGGGATATCAATTTTTCAGATCCTTTACTTAATTTTAGCTTCATTAAAAGGGCTTTCATCCTTTCTCCTACGTTTCGAATATACCACGTACCGAAACTACAAAGAAAAATCGGGCGCATCATTTCTCTACAAATTTGATTTATGCAAATTTGTGACATGTTGCCACTGGTGGTCACGAAACTTTTTATTTTGTAAAGGCGAATCCGGAGTACCCAGATTTTTTATTTCATATTCTGTTAATGTAAGAGCTGAACTTTGTCCTAGAATACATTTTGACTAGGTATCACACATACCAAGGTGGGTTTTTCGCCTGTGAAGTTGCTCATTTTTTAGCCATTTTAAAAAGTGCGCTTGGTGGTAGTTTTTAAAAAACCGAAAAAAAATTCAAAATCATGTTTATGGCTTAAAACATACCAAAGATAGAAAGAAAAGATAGAATTCTTTTAAACAAAAAATATTTCTGTTTTATAGCTTTGAATCTTGCCTCGGTACAGACGCGATAAAGTAGGTCATTTTTACTCTAATTTTTGCATAATTAATTAGGTAAAAACCGCTATTTTCGTTTTTCCTCATTTTCTCGAAAACTATAGATTCTTGAAAGTTGAAAATATTTTTTTCGAAGATAGTTTCCGAAAGGGGTTTTTCTGACAAATTATCAGAATTTTCGATTTTTTTAGCCTGGCCATCGATTCTCGATATTTACGGTCATGGGCTCTTAACATTCTAAAAGCAGTTGAAAAGTTAGTACTACCAAATCTGTTCCTGCTGATTAATGACAAAACGCCAAAAGTGCTCGACGCTCAAGTTAAATAGATATCATAAGTTGCAAATGAAGGAATGCACGTAGTTAACCTGTAACAGGCCTTCAGAGAGTTGGGAAAAAGCAAAGAAAAGTGAGCTAGAAAAAATGGCCAAGGGGCGGGGTTGGGGAGAGAGGGCGAAAGATCCTCCTAATCTCTCCCTCTTACTCTCTTCTACGTTTGTTTTCCTCCGTTCCCCATTTCGCGTCACTGTCCACCATCCACTGTCCACCATCCACTGTCCACTACGCCTGGAACAGGCTAGTTTATGGTGGGCCACTGAGAGTTTTTTCCAATACCAATGCAAGGATCTATGAAAGTCCATTTAGGAGCATTTGACATTTTAAAAGCTCATAGTCAGGCTGCAACTTTTCCTGCTTTGGCATGTATAAAACGCCACTTTTCCGTTTTGCTATAGAGGAAAGTTTTTGGCGATTTGTTTTTGCCGATGGTGTTTCATCGTCGATCGAAACGAGTTAAATATTTTCTGAAACGTTTT